TATCAACACACAGAGTGGGCGTGAAAATGGAGAAAGACTCGTCAAAAGATGCGAATTCAAACAAAACTGAACCAGAAATGGAGTTGCAATGGAGGCTCTACGAGGTGTATAATGAGCTGCACGGGTTGGCACAGGAGTTCGAGACACCGTTCGATGCTCCGACGGTGCTGATGGTGAGCCACCAGACCAACGGCAAGAGTGCACTTGTTGAGGCCCTCATGGGCTTTCAATTCAACCATGTTGGCGGTGGCACCAAGACTCGCTGTCCTATTACTCTCCACATGAAGTATAACCCGGATTGTCATTCTCCCCTATGCAATTTGTTGGCCGAGTCTGACCCATCTGTTTTCCAGGAAAAATCCCTCCAAGAAATTCAGGTTGTCATGCTTTAACCACAAACACCCAAAAAGATAGTACTTTTATATGTATGAATGAATATCGAGTTAAATGTTTCGTTAGCCACTGAACTTTGGGATATGTCACGACTTACCCACCGAACTTACAAAATTGTCCCATTGGCTACTAAACTTCAATCCGTTACTGCTCATTACCCATGGGCTCAAATCCGTCAATTAACGTGTCTACGTGGCGGATGGAAAATCTAGTTGGCCCGTTAAATCCTTACAAGTCTTAAATGATTTGCCAAATAATGTACCACCTCAGCATTTAACTCACGACTTTCACTGAAAACATTTCTCCCAAGTCAGATCATCTCCTCAAAATCTTCACTCAAGAACCCTAGGTGAGAACCATTCTTCACTCAAGAACCCTAGGTGAGAACCATCTTCTCCAGTATCTGTCAAACCCTTGGTTCTTGAAATCCAGTGCTCCCAAATCTCACGCGAAGTCATCTGCGTTAATACAAAATCCAAACCCCTGGGCGTGAAATCAATTTCCTCCAAGTCAATTGTTGTAGGTCGCGATCCTCAATTTATTCAATCAGCGAGAAGAGTGTGAGGAAACCCAACATCTGACCGGCAGGATACAGTAATCAAGTCTTCGTTGGAGCGCGATCGTGATTTGAATTGCATTGAAGGTAAAGCAATGAAAGAAGAAGACATACTCGGGGTTATTTTTTTTTTTTTTAAATTATATTCTGAAAATTACACTAATGGAAATATAGACATCGAACATTGTCACTGGTGCAACTTTCGATGAATCCCTGTTTGAATTGATTGGAAAGGTAATGCAAATCAGTTTCATTAGGCTTACTGCACTGACAAGCATGTTTTTAGTTGTTATTATTATTATTATTAATTTTTTTTTTTTGGGTGATAATCTGATTTTCAATTTGGTTATATTTTACTTATTTTATTGTGTTCCTTAGTTCAAGACTTCCTTAAGCTTGTTGATTAACTACATTATCTGAATTTGGTAATTGCATTTGTAATCATTATCCTAAGCCTTTGTCTACCGTTCAAGGTAATAGGAATTGGGACTGGTTGTGCATGGAAACAGCTTCATTAAATTGTGAAGTAGATATACCACACCAACAATTCGAAGCAGATCAAGGATGGAACAATTGTGAAGCAGCCATGTACTAACGTCGACAGTTCAGTGGCTATTGTTTCAACTGAATTTGTATTTTGTAATGTCCAATGTTTTGCTTTTGGCATGTAAATTGACGTCAGATTGGGATGTTACAATGTTGTTGAGATAGAACATATTCACATTAATGAAATCAGTGTATTGTTGCTGCCATGACTATTTAAAGCACTAGGTGTTGAGATGAATGATGTTTAAAGCACTTGATGAAATCAGTATGTTGCTGTTTAAAGCACTCCGTTGGTTCTTGTTGATGTGTCCAACCGATGATGTGAACTTTGAAGATGTCGTTGACGACGTGATTTACAGCAAGCTCCAACTTTCAGTCTTTCAGTTTTTGGGGTGATTCAAGTGATACATCCGATGATGAACTGGAGTTATCAAGTTTGTTGAAGAGCGTTATTAGAATAACTGAAGAAAAGGACGTGGACATCTCCGTCAAATTTACTTTCGGCAAGGGAGAAGGGAAAGAGCAACGGGAAACCAAATGGAGGAGCTTTGTGAACTTGAACTGCTTATGTTTAAATTTTTTTGTAGGCTTGAAAATTAGGAAGTAGCTCAATCCCAGGAACTTCAATTTCGCGTTTGTAATTTGAAGTGTGTAATACCCCAATGAAACGACTATGTTATTTTATATGAATGTAATTTGGATGCATGGTATCAGAATGTGAATGCACATTGTATGAAATATTTCAATTTGATCAACTTCCTATACTGATTTTTGAGGACTCATTGATGTCAGCCTGTGATGCCTAATTCAGACTTTGACTATGGAAAAAAACTACCTTATGTTCAACTTTGACAAACAACAAATCATTCAGTTAAAAATTTATTTACTTTCATTTAAAGCGGACTTGAGTGTCCTGCTGTTCCTAAGAGGCAAAATCCACGCATACAAGTCAAGAGAATTATCAAGTGGACCTGATTGTTTGCTTCCTGTGCAGTCAAGAAGAAAATAGACCTGATTTACACCAAAAAATCAGGTTTACACCAAAAGAAAAAAACCTTGACACTCCCTCTTTGAAACCTGATTTTTGTTGACACAGGTGGGAAATATTCACAAATTGGTGATTTAACTTCAGTATTGGCTGGAGTGAAATTTACCATAAGGTGAGGTTTTTTGTTACAGATACAGATTAACTTGTAGCTACTTTTCCCAACTAATATGAGGACATCACAACAAATATTCAGCAGCAGCTCAAGAAAACCTCATCAAATTTCAATCTCCAGTCATACACTAACAAACTCATAAATCACATCAACATATGTGTTCTAAGTGAGGCATAGTTACTTGCTGAGTGAGGCTTTGCCAAACTTGCTTTGTTTCATTGCTAATAATTATGTGTTCTAAGTGAGGCATAGTTGATTTGGGAATAGATTTTTTATTTGTTATAATTCTGTAGGCATAAGACATTTGTAAATGTTTTAACGATATGCTGTGTAAATAAATCTACATTCATGAAGTTTTGTAACATAAATCCCCAAGTTCGTTTTTCTCCTGAAATTATGCCCTCAAATAAACATAGTATCCATTCTGGGCACAATGATCACACCCAAATTTCATTGTTCGGATTAGTTTTATGTAGTAGGAAAAGTAAAAAAATCTTGTTCTAGATAGTTACTTTTGCTGAAGTAGAGAGTTCACATGTCAATTTTGCAGGGGATAGAAACTTGAATGGAAGGAGGAGTAATAGCCTGTTCACATTGTCACGTTGATGCAGATATTCTAGGATGAAGGCGTGTGAGATCTGTGTTTCTAAATAAATGGAACATGATTGAGTAAATAAAAGGAGAGAAACACTGGATCGCACTTACGAAGAATATTGTTAACGAAGAAAGAACTGTGCACTTGCATCACAACTTCAAGCCCCAGAGGTTAAAGCATATCCAAGGATGGGAGCATAGTATACGAAAGAAATGTAAAAACATAAACTTTTTATACAAACGGAGTAGGATCTAAATTGAGTAATATCTTACTCAAAAATGACTTTTTTAGTTTATATATGTCTTTGGTAGAAAAATTCCTGTATTAAACTTCCTCAAGCTATAATTTCATAAAGGTGTGCGGAAGCAGCTTCTAAGAAACCGATGACAAATAATAATAAACGCCTTTGTGGAGGAAACGTTATTTGTAACTGCATTAATTTTTGAAGTTTACATTTCAAATTGCTGGTAGGCTTAATCATGAGATAATTACTTATCAAAATTTGCTTAATCTTGTGTAGGCATTTATTGAAGCTGAGAACATGAGGCTGGAACATGAACCTTATCAGTTCTCATCAAAAGAAATAATAATCAGAATCGAATCCAAATACTGTCCAAATCTTACCATTATTGACACTCCAGGACTTATTGCGCTTGCGCCTGCTCGAAAAAATCGTTCTTTACAGGTTAAAGGACGAAAATAAAATTATATATCTATCACTTCTGAAGCAATTATGTGTTAAATGTTGTGAACCTATCAATGGCAGGCTCAAGCTCGTGCCGTGGAATCTATGGTGCAAGCCAAAATGCAGCACAAAGAATTCATTATATTATGTCTTGAAGATTGCAACGATTGGAGTAATGCTACAATGCAGAGGATTGTGATGCAAGTACGTTACAGTTTTGTCCTATATCTATTAATTTTATGAGGTCTTTTTGGGAAATTATGATGGTCAAAAGAAATAATTGAGTACCTTAGAAGTTCTGACACTAAGCACAATTTTTTTTTACATTCTCATATAGATTGATCCTGAACTTTCAAGGACTGTAATTGTCTCAACAAAGCTTGACACAAAAATACCTCAGTTCGCACGAGCTTCAGATGTGGATGTTTTTCTTTCACCACCTGCATGCACTCTTGATGGTTTCATGTTAGGCGATTCACCCTTTTTCACATCTGTTCCTTCTGGGAGAGTTGGGTCTGGTCATGAATCTGTTTACAGATCGATTGATGAGTTTAAACAGGTTAGATCTCAATATCTGCCTAAATGCATTATTGTCTGAGTTAGTTGTATTAGAGGTCAATGATGCTGATAAGGGCACCTAATGGATGCCCTTATGTGTGTTTGAGCAACTAATTTAACTAGTAAACATATGTTGGTTCTCCTTTTTGTCTTCTAGTTTTAAGAATACCCCACCTTATACAATGAAATCCAGAGCATTTTTTTTTTCAATATTCCATGCAAACTATCTTTGGGAAATAAAAGCAGTATTTCTAATATAATTAGGCTGTGGGGTGCTAATATCATATGATGTTCCACTTTTGCATGCCATGCAATATAAAATCGAGCATACAAAAACTGTATAATGGCATTTGTTCATCGTGCTGAATTAGGATTTTTTATCTTGACACTGTAAACAGAGTGTTATGTTCCACAATAAATGATTCTCCATGTTTGGTGGCTTTTCTTGTATAACTTGTGCACCCATTGGCACATTTGTCATAGATTAGAATATTAGTTATCGTGTAAATACTAAAATCACTCACTCACTATCAAATAGACTCAATCTTTTCTGTCCATTACGATTCCACCTTAGCGTCTTCTACTTTTAATAGGCAATTAACTAGATCAGAAAAATCTGTTACTTGCTGAGAATACATTTTTCTCGTAAGGTCACTTGAAACAAGATTCTTTGGTTTAGGGCCCTTTTGTGTTTGTCACTCAAAGTATTGCTTTGGAAGAGTAAGGTAAAAAATAAAAAGATTTGGCTAACACTACCCATTGTTGCTTCATTTCCCCTTCATCAATGTAAAAGCAGCAGTGCCCTAAAGTAGTCACAATATAAAACTTCAGTAAATATTGAATACACGATATCCTCAATTGAAAACTTCGGGTACTTTTATCAATGTTTAAGCAATCGTTACTGGTCTTACCAGAATACACCAGCTTATATTGGGTGGTAGTGAAAGTCTCGGACACCAATGAATGGTACCAGACAGAAACTTTTTAGTTTCTATAACATTTCTTATGTATAGTTAACCCATTGTACATATAGTAACATCATTGTAATTATTTTTTCTTAAGATATAATATTCTCAAATACTAATAATATTTTCATCAGTGTACTTTGGTGCTTATTTCATCCATATATGTCATTGTTATATGAATTTGCTAGTATGTCTTTAAAATATTTTAATTGATATATTATCCATCTAAAAATAAATCTGATTTGGTATCTGAGGAGACATCGATAATGATATACCAAGAGGTTATTTGAGATGTTTTTACTTGTGCTATTTATATATTGGCTTTTCAGTTTTCATTAATGCTCAGCAAAATTTGTCTACTTGTATGATAGTCCATGTTTGGTTGAATAATTACTTTTTGCGTTTGTTTTGGGACAACTATCATGTTGGATAAAGACACATGGTTCTAGTATAGGATTGGGCATATTTGGCCCAATGCTGTGGCGTG